TCCTGTGGTTTGCAATTTTTTTTTAATATTATTGTTATTAAAATTATTACTTTTTAAAAAATGTTTCTTATTGTTTTATTGGAAAATAAAATGCTGATTTGCAGAAAAACAGATGTTAGTGGATCGGATGTAAGTGGATGTCATCCACTGACATCCGTTTTTTTGACTGTTCCAGTTTTTTTTTCCAGAAGAAAAATAGGCATTTCTTCCATTCAAAAAAACGGAATGTTCACAGATGCAGACATTAACGGATGTAAACAGATGATCATCCATTTACAACTGCTCAGAATAGAAATACATGGGTGCCCGTTTCTCATCCGTAAATGGACAGACGGAAAACGGACATACAGAACGCCCCTGTGATTTGACCCTTAGGCATGTTTTTTGTGCTGCTTTTCTCCTGCCAGGAGAAAAAGGGTTCAGAATAGCTGGGAAAATGCCCAGTACGCATGAGGCCTAAAAGGTGATTTATAGAAACCTGTCTGAAGAGAAATATTCAGGCTGCCATTGCTGATGTCTCTTTTCGAAAATATTAGTCACCTGGCTGTCACACTGATACTCTGGCTTCAGGGCTTTCACAATGACTTGCACGCACCCTGCACAAATATAGCAATAAAGAAATGCAGCTTTTATTGGTTAAATGCTTATTCCAGGTCTGTTACTCAGTTCAGAAGTACTGAAGTCAGAATCAGCCAGGCAACCAGCATTTTCAAAAGGCGGTCAAAAATGGAAGTTTACTTATTTTCATGACAGGTGAACATTAACAAGTATATTAGAAAAACAGGCATATCGTTTTTTTTTTGCATTGACATGCATACAATAAACCATTTTTTACTTAAACGTGTGATATCTAGTTTAGGCACGCAGGTGGACTGACCTATCTTGTTAAACTCCTGCACTCCGATTATGATGAGGTGCGAAGAAATGCATGCTGGGCCATTGCTGTGTGCGTAAATGAAGAATTGACTGCAGCTGAACTCTATAGATTGGGGTAAGTAAAACATTAACACTAATAGAGATTCATTGATGTGCTTCATTAAGTGCAGTCTTTAAATTAAAACCATAATCCAAATAATTAAGCTAGATCCACATTTAATACTTGAATGGGTGTGTTTTTATGTGTGTTAATAGTTTAAGCTTTAGATGCTGAAATAAAATGCTAAGGTCATAATGATAGACTACAAACTATTTGTATTTAAAGTGCCCATCCACTATAAATTAGATACTACATTGCAGGATAGACCAGATTTCCTTATCTGCTATTTTCTCACAATGTATGACATCAGTAAAATGTTTTCTATACAATAGGGCTTAAAAAATGCCTCTTTTATAGGTGTTTGTAGGTTTTTTTTTTTCAGCCTGTAAACATAGCCCTATGTGGTCATGTGCACAAAGGCGTTTACAGGGATATTAGCAGAGGAGAGTTTTCCAGGCTGAAAAAAAACATCAGCAACGCGTTCAGGAGAGGAGCTTTTTTGCAGAAATAACGCTTGGTACGCCTAAATGCGTGTAAACATGCCTAAACTCTAGATGCATTTAGTGCTTGAGCATTCATTCATTCCAATGGCCAGAATAAATTAATATTCTGGCCAGTTGAAACCATAAACGCTCAAACTTTTAATGCTCCTAAATGTGCCTAACCGCGTCTGCAATACGCTACATCTGCAGGACAGCTTGGTCTGTTGAAAAGCAACAGATGTACTGGCAGAATTACTAGATGAAAATAAAGGAAAGAAAGCCTAGGAAAAAAAAACTAATGCAGCCATCACATCTTTTCCTGCCAGGAGTAAAATGTGTTTTTTCCTGCCAGGAGTAAAAGGTGTTCAGAGGAGAACTGGTATACGGTATATTTGGAATTGTACAGTGTATCAAAGCCGTATTAAACCCAAAAGCAAACATTTATTATATTGCAGCTTACCAGTTCTTAGATGCGATGACTGCATTAGTTTTTTAAGTTGCAATGTACAACAATAATCCTCATAAGCACAATCAACAGTCAAATAAACCGGCACAGTCAGTTAAAACCTATTCACAACAGAGAAAAAAAAAATGTAAGCATTCTTATTGGGTTTGAATCCCCCTACAGACAGTTTCATGAAATTAAGATTATTTTCCATCCCAACCAGGTGCCCCTGATTTGATGTACTGTACCACTTATGGCCGCTATTATTCTTTGAGCTCCTGTGCAGCTGCATAGGGTATACAGGCAGGGGTGTATTTTCCACAAGGCAAACAAGGCATTTGCCTAGGGCGGCATTTTTCGGTGGGGCAGCACTGACCCTTGGAAGAAGGGACAGAAGAAGGGACACACATGGCATGGGGACCTGATGGGTCCGAGAGAGGCTGTGGGTTTCATGACAGTGTATGCACAGCCCGACTCTCATTCCCAGGGATGTCTGCAGCTGTGAAGGTGAGTGTCTCTCTCTCTCGCTGTGGAGGATGGTGACTGGTATATGGGGGGCAATGGTAGTGGAAGGCTCTCTCGGGTGGGGGGCAGGGGTGTTGTTGGTCAATGTCAGGCTCTCTCTGCAGGTGGGGGCACCGATTTTTGTGTTGCCTAGGGCAGCACAAAACCTAAATACACATTGTGTACAGGCACTATGTCCACCCCTACAAAATTACTGTATCAAAATAATATCTGCAGAAACATATATTTTTTAGCTCTTTATTTATGCAGATCAGAACAAAAACAAGGCTAGCATTATCGTCCATAAAATAAATCCACCAACATATATTATATGTAGCCTGATACCAAATCATACACCACATTTCAATTTTACAATTAGAATAAATTCCAGTATAACATAAACAAGGCCATCTAAAATAAGTAGCCCCCTCCCCCCCAAAAATAAAACATAAACGTAACAAAACGTATAACAAAACACAGGAAAAAAAACCAGAAAGGGAAGAAAAATAAAAAAAGTTAAACTAAAAAAATGCAAATATATTGTGCGAGAGACAATTTCCCCCTTAAGTTCCGCTTCTGGCTTTTCAAAGATGTTACATATACCTTAGTATACAGGAAGGTCATTATCCAACTACATCAGATCCTGGTGGGGAGCAGAACAGGTATAGGCTGTCCAAGGGGACCAAAAAATATAATATTCCTGCGCCAACAAAAAAGTGCCATATACAAAATATGTGTATTCCTCTTCTAAATTGCTGCTGTGCAGAAAATGTGAAAACACAAATAATATTTATAAATGAAACAGCGCAAAATAGACCTTCATACAAATTTAGTGAATCACAAAACATAAATGTCCAATAATCATTGGTGCATATCTCTGTCAAAAAATCTTCAGGAAAGACACCCCAAAACCACTTGTGATGAAAGCTGAGGATTCTAAATGCTTTTAGAAAACTTCCACCTATCACCCGTGCACACCAACATCAAATACACTCACCAGATTTTGGTGAATGAAAAGCCTATTGAGAACGCCCTGTGGGAGGGGCGAAACGCGTTGACGCAATTTCCGGTCCACACATCTGACGTCACTTCCAGTGAGTGGAGTGCATGCCAGGCGGTGTGTTCCAGCGGCCATTTTTGAGGGATTTATACTGGTCTTCTGCTGTTCCTCTGCTCTTACTGGCTTTTATTGATGTGAGAATCCTGGATTTTGTGGCTGTTTGCTGGTTCTTAATATCAGGCTGGTGTTGGCCTAAATAAATGCGCCTTTTACAAGTTGGAAAAATGTGAGTGGCCTGGATTCTTTCTTCTGTTATAATATCTATCTGGCAATATTACACTATATAAGTTTTTTTCTCCAATACGGTGGAGTAAACAAGGATACCACGGTGAGGACCTGGGAGAAGATATATACCTGGTGGGGCAGGCTACTATTGATCTGATGCAAAGAGGGTTAGGATTTCCCAAAAATCCTTAAAGGCTTTTCATTCACCAAAATCTGGTGAGTGTATTTGATGTTGGTGTGCACGGGTGATAGGTGGAAGTTTTCTAAAAGCATTTGGAATCCTCAGCTTTCATCACAAGTGGTTTTGGGGTGTCTTTCCTGAAGATTTTTTGACAGAGATATGCACCAATGATTATTGGACATTTATTTTTTGTGATTCACTAAATTTGTATGAAGGTCTATTTTGCGCTGTTTCATTTATAAATGTCCAAGAGGACCAAATATTGTCAAGTGGCTAAATGGTTAACACTTCCACCTAGCAGCACTGGGGTTGTCGGTTTGAATCCTAACCACAGAACTACCTGCCTGGAGTTTGCATGTTCTCCCGGTGGCTGGGTGGGTTTCCTCTGTGTACTCCGGTTTCTTTCCACATTCCAAAGACATGCTGGTAGGGGAACCCCTTCACGCCGCCGCCTCCCGGCCCTTTAAGAGTTTCAGAAGCCGGGAGGCGGGATGGACAGGACGGGGTTTAGATATCATGTGACCGTTGTGACGCGTCGTCATGGCGGTCACATGATCGGGAAAGGTCCCGATCCAAAGAGCAGACTGGGACCTTTCCGTGAGTACCAGACACATGTGCTGGGAGCGCGCAGGGCGCGCGCTCTCAGCACATATGTTTTTTTTTTAATTGAACGCAAATGTGCAGCCGCTCGGCGTCTAGGCCCAGACACCGGGAGGCCGCACATTTGTGTGCGGCCGGCGTAAAGAGGTTAATTGGCTCCTGTCTAAATTGGCCCTAATATGTGTATATATGAATGTAAGTTAGAGATCTTAGATTGTACACCCCTAGAGGGTCTGAGGTGTGTATACAATATATGTAAAGTGCTATGTACATTGGCAGCGCTATGTACAATAAGTACCAGTAATAATAATAAATTTACCCTCTTGTTTGTAGAGAATATCTGTCAATCTCTCCATTTTATACATTTCCTCAACTCTAGTGAGCCACATGCAGAAATATTTTGATATTGTTCTGCCTATAAAATTGGTCACCTTTCAGTTTTTGTTTTCAGGGCTTATGACATTCTCCAGGAGATAAATCTTTCAGCAAGTCGGAGAAGCAATTTTAGTGAGCTGGCTCTGAACAAGATGCTGGATAATAACCTTTCTCTGAAATACAACCAGAAAGGATTTTTATCCTACAACAACCTCATAAATGATGGATTTTATGACCACGGCCGGGTATGTTAGAACTAGAGTATAAGTCATGTATAGGTGTGTTGGAGTACATCATGAGATTGTCACAAAATTATCTGTGGAACACAACTTAGACTTTAATTCAGTTCATTCCAAACGTTTCTAAAGTATATTTTGGTTAAACATGACAATTTGGCTATGTAAGCAAATGCTTTACACTGTTAATATGTGTGCCAATTTATATTGTACAGATAAAACCAGATGCAAAGTTACCATCTCTGGAAGAACTTAGTAGACAGGAGCTGAACCAAAGCCGGGCAGTTATTTTAATCAATACAAGATTACCTGAACTGTAAGTGCTGAGCTGAGCTGCTAAGCCACATCTGGGAGAAGGGATGGGAAGATAGGCTGCTGAGAAAACAGGTTAATTGCTGTAAATATTGAGGATAAATTGCTCTACAGTGCCTGCAGCTGCTATGGGTGGTGAGGGCTTGTTTTAATCTATGTTGTGTTGAAAACATATAAATGCTTGAATGTCCTTAGCCTTGCCATCCACTTTGGCATTTAGTATCTAATATATATATATATATATATATATATATATATATATATATATATTCAAGCAAAGACAAACAAGTGGTATTATTCCATGCTACCACATATATTTGTTTCTGTGTCTTAAGTAGTGATGTGCCTGCAGTCACTGACAGCACGCAGTCACAGAGCAAGGATTGGGAGTTGGTAGAACAGACTCCTGATCACATGATCATTGAGACAGCCAATCACAGATTTCTTTTACCAGCTCGTGGAAAATGGTTAAGCCACCCTATATTATACAAAAAACTAAAAAAAATATATATTTGCTTAGGATCTACTTTGAAGCCCAGTTGAACTCTCCTCATAAATTAGCTAAAAAAAAAATTCCAGGTACATAAATAAATTCTAGATGCTAAGACTTACAATTGGTTTTCATTAGAAAACAGCCACAGCCTGCGTAGAAAGCACTGTCCCCTGCCAGCATACTGCAGAGAAAAACAGTTGCTTTCTGTGTAGAAGCAGTGGTCTATCTGCAGAGGTCCAGCATGCCTCCTGTTGACTCAAAGCATGAGCTATTGGCCTGATGTATTAGGGGGTGCTGGACCCCTGCTGTAAAATCACTGCTTCCACACAGAGAACAGAGCTCCTACACTGCAACTGCTGGCAAAGAACAAGCTTTTCTCATGCTCCCTGCTAACTGAAAAGCTATAATCCTGACACAAAAGTGGTCATGTTGGAACTCTGCAGAGAGACCATTGCTTCCACACAAAGAGCAAGGATCCTTCTCTACAGCATGCTGGCAGGGGACTGGCTCTGCTTCTCAGGCTGGGGCTGCATTCTAAAGAAAACGAAAAAACTGAAGACATTGAACATCTTTTGTTTTGATGCACCTGGAAGGTATCTAGCTAATTTAAACGGAAAGTTCAATTGGGCTTTAAATAGTTTTGTCTTGTAGCTTACATGAAAAATTATTCTTCCAGTGCTACCCCACCACCCCTTCCAGCGGAGGAGAAAACAGAGCAAAGCATCAGACGGTCTCCATCATCACAGAGCAGAAGCGCCTCTAGAGAACAAGGAGGGTATGTGCTTATATTCCTGTCCTCATTACTGTTCAATCCACACGTGAACAAATGAATGTCTAGAGGTGTGGATAGAATACATTTTGAATTTTGGTGTAGCCTTGTGATTGTCAGCCCTGATGGTGGAAGCAGAATTCCCATCATAGAGTAAGAAGGTTACTGGAATTGGTTTCTGATTGTTTGATATTGTACATGATGTATATTGGCAAAATTACTGTGACAGGTTATCGTATTACTTTTTATTGTCAGTCGGGCTCAGTCACCTGTAGAAGACAAGCAAGAATCGTCTTCAGTGAAATCCCCTTCTGTAAGCCGGAGTAGGATGAAAGAGAAGTCTTCCAGGTAATTCTCATATATTTGTATTAGGTTGGTTGTAAGCCTCAGATATAAAGTATGAACAAAGTATATTTATTTATTTCAGGTACTTATATATCGCCGTCAATTTACGCAGCGCTTAACATATATATATATATTGTACATTCACATCAGTCCCTAACCCTCAAGGGGTGTACAATCTAAGGTCCCTAACTCACATTCATACATACACATACTATGGACAATTTAGACAGTTACCAATTAACCTACCTGCATGTTTTTGGTGTGGCACAGGGAGAACATGAAAACTCCAGGCAGGTGGTGCCGTAGTTGGGATTCGAACCAATGACCCTAATACTGCCAGGCGGAAGTGCTAACCACTAAGCCACTGTGCCGCCCCATAGTGTGTATTTGTCTCAACCCAGTGTACTAAGTTTCATTTCTGTCTGCTGCTTTGTTCCTCTGCTATCAGCTTGAATCATTTCTGACTAGTTTTCCTGACACCAAGAGAAAAATGGTGACAGGGGAGGAACCTCCATCAGATTGACAGCCTCAGCTCTGTTCCCATGAGCTGTGTGAAGGGGGGGGTGTCTCTTCCCTCCAATCAGCTATTAGAGCTCTCCTCACTGAGCTCTGCAGAGTGTAACTTCAGCTTTCCACCCCCTTTTTTTAACTCTCTAACATGCTTTATAAATTCAGCACTTTGAACTGATGTAGAGTAGATTGCAGATAGACAAGTACAACTTATGTAGGAGGATTTGTTTAATTTCTGTATATCACCTGAGGCCCGTCACTTCAGTGGGTATAAGTGAGGGGTTACAACCACTTTAAATTCGGTTGTATAAATATAAGAGTTTTGGCCCTTTAAAATTGCATTTACTTATATAACTTAGTTACATTTTGCTCAAAATGTTCCTCTCCTGACCGCGATTCTTCTGTTTTCAGGAGAGAGACATTTAACTGCCCCCAAAACTGCTGCTGCTAAGCTCTGACAAAAGCCTATGTGTACATGGACACGTTGGCTTTTATTTAGTCGAGTTCTGGAGCTTTGGCAAAAAAAAAATGCCAAAGGCTTCTAAACTCATGTTTAGGAGCAGCAGTGTACATGTGGCCTAGGGACCCATGCACAGTTTGCTGGGAAATGTTTATTTAAAAAAATAAATAAATTATGAAAAAATTGCAAATAAATACCTAATGCAATTAGCACCACAGGCAGGTTTGTGCCTATAGTACATTCATAGATTTTTAGGCCACTATGAGCCAGTTAAGGGTGGGATGATTTCACAGATTTCACAGAATTCCACCCAACGTTGTTCTCCCAGCAGATGTTTTTACTTTACACTAATTAATAAAAAACATGCACGGCTTAAAATCATGTGGAGTTTTCTGGAGAGCTCAGAAATCCTCTACTGAAAGACAGACGTGCAGTGGAATGTGTCAGCCAATTCTTTTTTATGAATTAGCGGATGACTACATTGAAGCAGATGTGTTTTCTAACAGAACACCTTCGTATGACGGGTTTCGGGGCAACAATTAAAACTAACAAAGCTGAACATTTTTGTGGATTATAACATGTACCTGTTAAACTGTGCTACAATGTAATTAAAGTGGTTTTAAATATAAAAGGTTTTTTTTTTTTAACCTCCATGCATTCTTTTCATAAAGGTTTTTAAACCTTTTAATAGTAGATTTTAATAATAAACCTTTTAATAGTAGCTTCCCCCAGCCCCCTTGAAATACTTGACTGAACCCAATCACGATCCAGCGCTGTGCCCATCTGCAGCAGCACTGTGCTACCCTCCCCTCTTCTCACAGGAGGCTGTGTTCTCAAATCCTGTGAGCAGAGAGGGGGGGGCAGGGCTGAGCTGTACTGTATGTGTCAATAGACACACATAGTGTGGCTCGGGATTGAGCCCGCTGGAGTGCCCCCATAGCAAGTGGCTTGTTATTGGGGCACTCAGAAAGGAGAAGGAGCGCTGGAAGGGGACCGCAAAGGAGGAGGTTCGGGGCTGCTCTGTGCAAAACCACTGCTAAGAACAGATACGTATAACATGTTTGTTATTTTAAGAAAAAAATTAAACCTTTAAAACCACTTTACTTAAAGTGTTCCTAAACCCACAAAAGTAAAATCAGTCTGTATATGCAGTAAAGTATGCTTGTTATGCTCACGGTGGAACCTAAGGGGTTAATCCTCTGTGTAAAAAGGCCATTTGATCCTTTCTTCTCTGTTCCTCCCTTTTTTCAAGCAACCAACTCTTATCTCCTTATAAGACAGACTGAACGGTAGACATTTTGCAAATGCTCAGTTTGGTGTGTATTGCTAGAGGGTTTTTTTTTCTTGGGAGAGTGCATGTGATCAGCACTGTCCAAACAGAGGTCAGGGGTTTTGCATCCTCCTAGAGCAGCAAGAAAACTCCTCCTACAAGATTTAGGTAGTGCTTGGCTGAACACTGATAGAAGCCACAAGACTGCTCAAACTGCTGATGAGAAAATGTATTTAGCAGTTTATATTTACTAAAATAATTGCATTTCCATGTTCTGTGTACTGTGGGAGAGCGGATATAATGGATGCAGGGTCCTGGATTTAGTAACACTTTAAGGAAATGTTGGTTTTTGGAAAGCACAGATAATTCAATTCACTTGGGAGCATTGTATATATCCTCACAGTTACCACTCTGTGTTGGATACCATATCTTTATATTACAGATAATTCAAAGTTTTCAACCTGGGCTCATTCTAATAAAGAAAAAATATACCAGTTTTTGGTCAATTAAATTTAATTTAAATGTCTCTATTGGCTTTGTGTTGACTTCGGCTGATACCCACCACAATTTCGGTTGTTAAGGACCATACAGTCATTGAAAATAGCAAGTGGCAGATTGCATAGGTCAGTTCAATTCCATGTGATCATATGTTTGATCGAATTGAGTTAATGAAAAGCTTCTGAAAATACCATGTGTATTGTCAACAGTAGGCAGGATTTTTCATTTTAAAACTTTAATGGGCAAATCAAATGGTTTTAAGTAACTTTTTTTTGTTTACCAATTTATAAACTGTTTTATGGATTTTATATTTTTTATTACTTTAAGTATCTTTAAATATTACTCTAAGTAATCTAAAACTAAATGTTTATTTTACAGATAAACATTTATGACTGGGTCTCCAATTACAGTACATTTTGTTTGCCATGCATACCGGGCTTCCTAACAAGCTTGCCAAATTGTCTATGGCTATTGTCCTAAACAGAAAACTTGTACAGGATTGCATAGTCTAGCAAATAAAGAGGAAGGATGTCCCTCCTCTGAGTCATACAGCAGTGTGTGTTGTGAGTACTCCTGCAGCCAGCAGGCTGTTTGAAAAAAACTGAACAGATTCCCCCATCCATACAAGCTAGGTGGATGGAGGAATCCTCCCCATTGGGTCATTGTACTCTGACAGCTAGGACTGTTGCTGGAGTGCTGTAAAATGCAATTCAGTATGGCTACCTGGATGCTTTCTGTACACAGGTGGTGTACAGAATGCCCCCCCCCAGAAATGTAATTCCCTGTTTGTGTGATTGGCTTACTGATATTCCCAGAAGTCTGCACAATTCAATTCAGATTTATAGCATCCCCTGCAACAAAAATGTCATTGTTGGCGAGATATTCCCAAAGGAAAATCGTGACTAAAGGGATGCAGACCCTGCCACTTGCACATTAGAGCCCTACAGGTGCAGTAGCTGACAGATAATTATAAAGCCACTCCCATACAGATTCACTTTGCACATGGACATAGACAAACAAACAGCTACTCCTTCAGAATAGCAAAAGGTAGGACTCTGCAACAAAGTTTGTTAAAATCCCTGCAGTGTACATTGATCACCCATAGGGGAATGTTTTTCTCAAAAAAAGTGGAGTTACTCTTTAACCCCTTGGCGCCGAGCATATGCAAATTAGCGGCCCCACTGGGACTGGGTTTTTTTCCATGGGGCCGCTAGTCTTCATACCTGTCTTTGTGCCGCACAGCGTGATCCCAGCACAAAGACTGGGGTGTCAGTGAGAACAATTCTAATGATCTTGATCTGGAACTCCCAATTCCGGGTCACATGAATGCTGTTAAAGCCTCTGCTTGGATATCACAGTGATCAGTCACTGTGAAGCCTGCCCCACTTGTTTTCTCTGTGAATGGAGGAGAGAAAAAAAGTGTTTGTAAAAATAAGTAAATAAAAATAATAATAAAAAAATAAAATAAAACAATAAATAAAAATACCTAGATCAGGGCTTGATCTAGGTCAGTGCCATGGTTAATGTTTGGGTCAGGGTCAGTATTTTTTTTATTCTGGTCAAGATTTTTTTTTTTAATTTTTAAATTAGTATCAGGGTCAGTTAGTGGCAGGATAAAAAAAAAAAAAATGCACACTAATGTTTATGGGCCGTGCTACGGGTATAAACAACAACTAACATAGATATATGTGGTATCGTTGTGATCGTCATGAGCAGGAGAAATTATTTTGGGATGTTTTTTGGTGGTTGGTTATGGTAGTTATGTTTATGGTAAAAGCCCCATTTGTCCTAAAAAAAAACAAGGTATAATCCACCTGGATGCACAAAGTAGTTTTGATTTAGTTTAGTAGAGCAGTATTGTCAATATGCAGCTTAAATCAAGAACAAAGGGCCATGAACTCAAACTAGCAGAAGGAAAATTCAAAATCAATCTTAGAAAATATTATTTTACCAAAAGAATAGTTCACAATTGAAACAGACTTCTAACAGAGGTCTTGAGTCAGTCAACAGCAATTAAATTTAAACATATTTGGACAAACCTAGAGCTGTATAAAATGATTAGAAAAAAAAAAACTAAAGAAAAAAGGAGGCAGACTCATAGGGGTTTATTTACTAAAGCTGGAGAGTCCAAAATCAGACTCACTTCTGCATAGAAACCAATCAGCTTCCAGGTTTCATTGCCAAAGCTTCATTGAACAAGCTGAGGTTAGAAGCTGATTGGTTTCTATGCAGAAGGGAGTCTGATTTTGGACTCTCCAGCTTTAG